CGTATGCCTCCCAGGTTCAAGTGATTCTCCTGCCTCAGCTCCCCGAGTAGCTGGGACTACAGGCATCTACCACCATGCCTAATTTTTGTATTTTTAGTAAAGATGGGGTTTCAGCATAATGGACAGGCTGGTCTCCAACTCCTGACCTCCTGATCTGTCCACTTCAGCCTCCCAAAGTACGGAATTATAGGCATGAGCCACTGCACTGGTTCTTTTTTTGTATTTTTAGTAGAGATGGAGATTCACCATGTTGGTCAGGCTGGTCTCCAACTCCTGACCTCAGGTAATCCACTCACCTTGGCCTCCCAAAGTGCTGAGATTGCAAGTGTGAGCCACCACTGCCTCTCTTACAAAAAAATCAACAATTCCAATTCTAGAATCTGCGAATCCTCAGCTTCTCTCGCTCTCCCACCCCATTTTCTTAAATGAGGGATGTTTCCTTTGGGGCTTAACAGGAATATAGTAAATCTTTAAACCATTTTATATCTTGGAAAAATTATGCTTTCAACTGCGGTTGGAGTCATCCCTGTAAGCGAGTTTCCTAACTAAATTAAGTCCCAGTACCTAATTTGGAAAGTGATACTAAGCAGCCCATTCTGGGTTATTGATGTCAGTTTAATAATTTTGTTCTTGACTACCTCAAAAGTTCATTTAACTTTGAATTGGCAAGATTATATAATTCCTTCCGTCTAGTTAAAAGAGCACAATCATTAAAAACAAAAACTATCTCCTCAGTTCAACTGAAGAGGGGGAAAAAAAGCTAGTAAGACAAAGCAGAGTTTTTATATTGATCCTTCATATCCCAAGTACCCTAAATTGACTTCAATTTTTCCCTGTTCAAGTTATAATTGATATGAACCACCGATAATCTGTCCAACACTAAACTCAATACTGGGGTCACAAAAGGGGAAAATACAGCACTAGTGCTCACAAGTTAGAAAATCTTCTGCAGCCCCATCCTGTACTTGTTTAAAAGACATTGTTCATCCCTAAGGGGCGTGAAATTTAAAACAGACCAGTCAGGTGCAGACTTATTAAGCAGAAGCCTGTAGCAGCTACCACCACTTTAAAGAAATTTAACATTAAGTATGTAGTCCCAGATTGAAGCTAGAAAAATATGAGTTGACTAAACTGCATTACTTGGAGAGTATAATCACTGAATTTAGGCCATTCTACTGGTGAAATATAAAAGCCCTTCCACAGAGCTTTGGCAAACGCCACTCCACTTCTAGGCACCATTTTACAAATAAGGTAGGTCATGCCTGTAATCCCAACACTTTGGGGAGATGGAGAATGCAGTGAGTTTTAAGTGAGAGAGAGAGGAGCGAGCGAGCGAGAGAGAGAGAGAGAGAGAGAGAGAGAGAGGAAAGGGAGAGAAAGAGAGAGGAGAGAGAAGGAAGAGAGAGAAAGAGACAGAAGAGAGAGAGAGGAAAGTGAGAGAGAGAGAGAGAGGAAAGGGAGACAGAGAGTTGACGGGTGAGGAGAGTGAGAGAGAGACAGTTGGGGGGGGTGGGGAGAGGGAGAGGGCGAGCAGGCATCTGTAATCCAAGCTGGTCCGGAGGATGAGACAGAGAATTGCTTGAACCTGGAAGGCAGAGGTTGCAGTGAGCCGAGATTGTTCCATTGCACTTCAGCCTGGGCAACAGAGCGTCACTCCATCTCAAAAATAAATAAATGAATGAAAATACAAATACAAAAATTATCGGGGTGTGGTGGTGGGTGCAAGTGATCCCAGCTACTTGGGAGGCTGGCACCTGTAATCCCCGCACTTTGGGAGGCCAAGGCGGGTGGATCACCTGAGGTCAGGAGTTCGAGACCAGCCTGGTCAACATGGCGACACCGTCTCTGCTAAAAATACAAATTACTCGAGCGTGGTGGTGTATGCGCCTGTAGGCCCAGCTACTCAGGAGGCTGGGGCAGGAGAATCGTCTGAACCCAGGAGTCAGAGGTTGCAGTGAGCTGAGATCATGCCGTTGCATTCCAGCCTGGGAGACAAGAGCGAAACTTGGTCTCTAATAATAATAATAAAATAAATAAATACAAAAATTAGCCGGGCGTAAAAGCTAAGGCAGGAGAATGGTCTGAGCCGGGAAGGTAGCGGTTACAGTTCAAGATTGTGCCATTACACTCCAGCCTGGGCGACAGAGCAAGGCCGCCTCAAATAAGCAAAAAAAATAAAGAAAGAAAGGTATATCTAGTTATTAATTACGGGATTCTCAAAATGGTGGGATTATAGGTTTTTACACTTCACGGTTATTGTTGTTTCTGCGTTTCCTACAATAAGCTCGGCATTACTCATACGATCCTTAGAAAAGGGAAAACGCCCAAACGCCCTGTGTAATCCAGGCCCGCAGGCTGCGCGCAGGTGCATAGCGGCCCTGGAGGCCTCTCTGCGTGCCGCACCTGTCCCCGCCTAAGGCCACATCCGGGGCCCGCCGTAGGTGACAAGGACAAGGGCGGGCCAGCTGGTCCCTATCGCAGAGAGTCTGCCACCGGCTCGGGCTGTTATGGAACCCCAGATCCACCCCGGCCTGAGGAGGTGGGTACGTCAGGGCGCGAAGCATTGGTTCGGTGGCCGCAGGATTCCTGGACGTGGCCACTCAGTTCCTCGCCTGTCCCCCGCCTCCGCCCCGGGCCATTTCCCTACCGAGGCGAGCAAAGCTGCAAAGTGAGGCTGTTCCCCCGCCGGCGTGAGTGAGCGCCGCCTTGCCGCTTCCTACCGCGCCGAGGGCCGGGGCCGGGGCACCGCCGCGCCGTCTGGGTTACAGGCTAGAAAGCGCGGCCTCTCGGTGCCCTCCCCATTATCCCCGCCTCGGGGGCCGCAGGCCTCTGCCCTCCAGCCCAGCCCAGCCCAACTCCACAACTCCTGCTCCAAGTCCGCGCCTCACCTTCCTCAGCCGCGGCCAAAGTTGCCGTCGCCGCCGCGAGCAGGAGCCCGAACGCAAGGACCTGCGGTGGCGCCATGCTGTCCGCGCGCCGGGAAGAGGGGCTAGGGAAGGGCCGGGAGCTCGCGGGAGGGCGTGCGCCGGGAGCAAAGCTTGAGAAGCCGGCCTGGCGGCGAGAAGCTTGGGGCGCGCGGGTCCGCGTCTGGAGGACCGCTACGAGGGGGTCCTCGGACCGCGCCGAAGGTGCTTGCTCGCCGAAGGACTTGCGCTTAGTGCGCGCGGCGGGGAGAAACGCAGACCTACACGACCTGGCGGCCCCGCCTCTCCGCCCCATCCCGGGTCGGCTCACCTCAGGCAGCCGGTGCTTGGTGATGAGTCACCGCCCGGGGGCGGGGAGCGAGTAGCTCCCCTCCCCCAGCCCCGGTGCAATTGTTGGGGCTCCGCCCCCTCCGCAGGTGTGCGCCCGCACGCCCCGCCCCGCCCCAGGTGCTTTCTCTCCCTGGCGGCGGCAGGGGCCCTTAGTGGCCTCCGAGAAGGTTTGAAGGTTCTGTGCTGAGAATTCCTTTTACCTGGAGCAGCGCTAACTCTGAAGCCTTGAAGAACCGGGCTTGGTGGAAAGGGTGCGGCGACTGGGTAGAGGAAAGTGGAGGCTAAAGGGAATATAAAGACAAAACACTATAAAAAAGACGACCTTTGAGCTTTACCTGGCAGTTTAATTGTACTCCTTTGAAATTAGAAAAAAAAAAGAAGAGGCCGGGTGCGGTGGCTTATGCCTGTAATTCCAGAACTTTGGGAGGCCGAGGCGGGCGGATCACGAGGTCGGGAGTTCGTTGACCAGCCTGGCAACCCAGTGAAACCACGTCTCTACTAAAAATACAAATATTAGCCGGGCCTGGTGGCGCGTGCCTGCAATGCCAGCTACTCAGGAGGCTGAGGCAGGAGAATTGCTTGAACCTGGGAGTCGGAGGTTGCAGTGAGCCGAGATGGTTCCCTGCACTCCAGCGTGGTGACAGAGCCAGACGACGTCTC